AAAGTGTGGGATCATTTTAAGAAAATGAAAGAGAAACCTGTGCAATATCTGCAGAGCAGAACTTACCTTCCACAGCAATTATTTTTAGTGAGCATATAGCTAAAATCTAACGATGGTTATATAATAGCAGCTGCATTCTGACGTGATAAGCTGTAAGTTTTATATTCAAATAACATATGATCTGATTAGTCGACTAATCGAAAAAATAATCGGTGATTAATCGATTATAAAAATAATTGTTTGTGGCAGCCCTAATTGTAATTAATGGATGCATTGACAGATTTAGTTGTCATGTAGCTAATTTGGATGAAGGCATATTAATCTAACAGTGACGAGTCATCATGGACTACTTTATAAACACAGACACATGGCTGTACGCAGCAGGTGTGAGGAAAATGAGGAAATGAGGAATGGAAAATGGGCACTTCATGAAATATTCAGACTTTTTTCTCAAACTATTATTACTCTAATCTCATAGTATTATGACTTTATTCTCGTAAAATTATGACTTTAATCTTGTAATAATAATTTAAAATATCTTGTTGCGTGGTCCTAATACTTCGTCGTAGATATTGATCAAGCGTTATGGCTTTTATTTTGACGGGTTGCTTCAGAATCCAGAATCATTTTCAATCTATATTCAATTGAATAAACTACAAATACAAGATATTTAATGTTCAAATGGATAAACCTTATTGTTTTTTTCTTTTGCAAACATTCACTCATTTTGAATTTGATGTCTGCAACATATTACAAAAAAAAAGCTGGGACAGGGTCAACAAAAAGACTAGGAAAGTTTAGGAATACTCAAAAACACCAGTTTGGAGCATTCCACAGGTGAGCAGCTTAATTGGAAACAGGTGAGTGTCATGACTGGGTATAAAGGGGGCATCCTGGAAAGGCTCAGGTGTTCACGAGCAAGGATGGTGTGAGGTTCACCACTTTGTGAACAACTGTGTGAGCAAATAGTTCAGCAGTTTAAGAACATTTCTCATTGTACACTTGTAATGAAGTCAGTGATTTCATCATCTAAAGTCCATAATATCAAAATATTCAGAGAATTTGGACAATTTTTTTCAAGTTAGCAGCAAGGCTGAAAACCAACACTAAATGCCTGTGACCTTTGACCCTCAGACAGCACTGCATTAAAAACTGACACCTTTCTGTAACAGATATTAACACATGGGCTCAGGAAGACTTCAGAAAACCTTCGTCAGTGAACACAGTTCATCTCTACATCTACAAGTGCAAGTTAAAGCTCTATCATGCAAAGCCATATTTCAACAACATCCACAAACACTGCTGGCTTCTCTGAGATAAACTGACTCAAAGTGGAAAAGTGTCCTGTGGTCTGACGAGTCCACGTTTCTAATTGTTTTTGGAAATCATGGACGTGGTGTCCTCCTGGCTAAACAGGAAAAAGACTGTTCGGATTGTTATCAGCACAAAGTTCAAAAGCCAGCATCTCTGATGGTATGGGGGTGCATTAGTGCCCATGGCATGGGTAACTGTCACATGTGAAGGCACTGTTAGTGCTGAAATCTACATACAGCTACAAATGTGTGGAGCATTATGAAGAGACCCGGCACAGGCATCAAATTAATAATGAGTAAATAATTTTTTGAAATCAAATCAAATCATCATTTTCTGTTTTTTTTTTTTTTGTGTGTGTTTTACACAAAGTCCTAACTTTACTGGAATTGGGGTTGTGTATTGCAGGGTTAGAAAAAAACTTGTAATGTCTTTTTTTCAGTTTTCTGCAGCACTAGTAGCAAATGAATTTACACACCTTCCAGATGACGATTAAGTTGAGGTCGAGCTCGTTACACTTCTGGGCGATCCTTGTGACGTCAGAACCAGCAGAGATCTCCGTGGGTCCAGAGTTCTGACTCTTACTGTTTGGTGTCCTGGATGATGAATCTACTGGCTGAAAGGCTGACGTGGAACAACAACGGAAGAAGAAATCTCCACAAGGAGTGTAAGAACTGATGATCTGCACACAGAAACGAGGCCAACAGGTTATTATAAGGGCACCCAGACTTCTGACTGAATTCATTTTATATCTGTGTTTTACAGTGAAATCTGTTTGCTTTTAAAATAATTTGATTTAGGGGATGTGAGCAGCTTTTTATACAGATTTAAACCATTAAAGGGCTGTTCCATAAAACACTGAGCTGTAATGTGCACTGGGTTTCTCCTGTTTTCATAAACATATATTTTAGGTTTAACTAAAACAGCTACAACTCTGTTATTTCACAACATAAAATTATCTTAAATCAGGGCTATTCAACTGGTGGCCTGTGGGCCACATTTGGACAAAAAAGAAAAAAAAAGTATAAAAAACCCATTTTAAATCAATTGTAAATTTAAACTTTATGATCAATGCAACAAAATAAACAAATTTAAAATGTAAATAATAATACTTGTTCTGTTTCATACTGCAGTGTTTCACCTATCATTAATGGGCAACGCCCCCTGCACCCCCCAAGATGTCTGGCCCCCCGAGCTGTTGGCTTTGAATAACTGTGACCCTCTGATCAACTGAGTTGAAAAGCCCTGTCTTAAATGATCAACGCATTTAAATGAGAGTTTTTGTCTCCAGTGTCACTAAATGCAGAGAGCCGAGAAGGATGTTTTTTTTTCTGTAACCCTAGAAGCTTTACATTAGTCCTAAAGCAAACTAAAAAAAAAAGAAAAAAACTACATTTACCCGTTCATTTCCAAGATTCAAGTCTGCAAAGGTGAATTTCTTAATGGTGTCCAAGTTAGCTAAAAACAAAGCAAACAATTAAACCCGTGAAATGAAATCCGGTCAAAAATGGTCGCCGTGTCCAAAAATGACGTACCTTGGTGTGGTTTGCATCGTGTGGCCCTAAAACAAAGTTTGGTTCTTTCTCTGCTGCTCAGTTTGCAGTCTGGAGGAGAAAAAGAAAAGGTTTAATAATTAACAATCCTGTTTTCAGATGATGCTAAAAAATATCACGTTATCACAAGATGCATGAGACTTTTGATCAAATTAAAGGCTGAATAATGAGCCAGTAAGTCAGTTATTCCTTTCAAACTGTGAGTGAGAGAAATATTGAAATAATGTGGAAATATCTAATAAAACAGCCTCACCACTAACATGGACTGTTTGTTTTTCAGTCTTAGCCTGTAGGACGTTTGTTTAAAGCAAATGAAAAAACAAACAAACTAGCAATTGTTTCTTTTTTCTGTCATACTGTACTGATCCATGATGCTAAAACTGAAGTATATATATCCTACATAATTACACCACTATAATTTATTGATTTTGGATCAATCAGACCTGCGGCCTCAGAAATATAGTTGATCAAACATACCATCATCTTTGGAGGGATTAATATATTTGTGGAGACGCCAGTGTTGACTGCCGCTGGACACCTGAACAATGTGGAACTCGCGTACACCACCTTCACTCTGAGACGAGAATTAAATTCAAACAGAACTAAAACCCAAACACGTGCTGTAGGTGTGTTTATTTATGTCTCTTTTACCGTATTGACATTCTCCACATCAATAAAGACCAGGGTTCCCCTGCTGCTTTTATCGTCTACAGAGTGGAGAGGAGGAGCGGTGCTGCGGCAGGCCGAGGCCTGGATGCTCAGAGAGCGACTGGCGCAGATGAACACGGTGTGACGCAACACCCGATGACTTCACATGGACACACAAACAGGAAGACACTGTTAGAGCTGGGACAGGACCAAAGAAAACTGAAAGAGAGGCGTTTATTTAAACCAAAACAATAAATCAGATGATTTACCTGATTTTGAGTGTTTTCTCCGAGCTCTCGTAGTAGAACAGAAAGTTGATTTCATGGACCCCCTCCTTGTCTGACCCTCTGAGCCACAGAGGCAGCTGAACAGACGCCCCCGGTTGAAGAACACCCCCCTGTACGGGGACTTCTATCACCCCTAACGGCTGACCGAACTCCTCTGCTGAAACCAAAACCTCTGAGGCTTCTGAACCCAGCTGAAGGTTTGTGGCAAAGGTTTTATAGGCCGAGCAGTTCTCAGCTGAGACTGGAGTGGGGGGTGTGGAGGCCTGGCTGCCGAAGGTGAAGAAGTCCGGGTGGGTTGACACCACGCGGAGACCACACAGAGGAACAGCGCTGACGTTACAGAACTCCACATAGGCCTTTCTGATCTCACCACACAGCAGGGCAGTGGGAAACTGCAGGAAGAAGACCTGAGGCACACATAGGTGCATATTTAGACCTTCATCACAAACAACCTGCGTTTACGGTTTCAGAACAGTAATTAGTCTTGCAACACAGGATGAATGTCTATAGAGCCAGGCCTACCTCCATAAGGGGCATGGGGGGTGTTATGATGGGATCCAGACGCCGATCTGTACTGTGTCGAACCTGCATCTTGTCTTCTTTGGTCTGGTTTAGTCGTGGACCCTGGATCTTTAGGTCCTGTCTGCCACGAACCGTTATTAGGTTCAGTGTTTGCTGACCTGCAGCACAGAAAAACCCACACAGTGAGTATAATTACTAACTACCCACAGTTACCTGAACTACACTTCAGATGGACTCCAATCAAAGTTGGGTTTTTATTTTAGAATTAGAGCTCATCTTTCTTTTGACGTCTTGTTGCTGACACATTTTTAGACTATGGAGATGTGATTTAAATGCATGCATGTTCTCACTGGTTGCATCTGTTGGACTCTGTGTATCATGAAGCATTGTGTTTTATCACTGGTCTTAGAGCTCTCACCCACCACTGTCATCTGTAGAGCAGCGTTGGATGGACTGCCTTATCCACCTGCAGGTTTGTTCACTGGCATAATCTAGTTTACAAAGAAATCTTGAGTTTACTTCCCCCTCACCTCTTGTAATATATGGTTAAAAATACCTTTCTGTGCTCGGATGAGTTCATTTCTTTAAAGGGGCAATATCATGTAAAATCAACTTTTTTGAGTTTTATATCATGTTATAATGTTACACTCTCATAAAAAACATGCCCAAAGCCTTGCTTTGACTCAATCATGCATGTTTGAGAAATCCTGCAGGAAGGAATTCCTCCTTGAGGAAGCCATGCTGAGGAGCAAAACGACAGGTGGGGACTAGAAACACCTTTTGGTACCAGAAACGCCCCTGGGACGTGTCTTTAAGC